TTATATGGAATCAAAAAAGAGCCTAAATAGCAAAATAAATCATAAGAAAAAGAAACAAACCTGGAAGCACCACATTCCCTGACTTCAAATTACACTACACAGATATAGTAAGAAAGGCAGTATGGTACTGTTACAGAAAAAGAGTAATGTTATAGAATACAGAGCACAGAAATAAAGCTGAATACCTACAACCCATTGTTCTTTGAGAAAAATGACAAAAAATATACACTGGAGAAACAACCCTCTATTCAGTAAGTGGTGCTGGGAGAATTGAACAGCCACATGTAGAAGAATAAAACCAGACTTCCATCTTACCATAGACAACAATTAACTGAATATGGATTCAATATTTAAATGTATTAACTGAATCTATAAAAATACTTGAAGAAAATATAGGTGACAGTTCTCGGGACATTGGCCTAGGCAAACAAAATATGACTAAGACTTCAAAAGGAAATGCAATGAAAAAAAGTAGACAAACAGGACTCAACTGAACTAAAGATCTTCTGCAAAGAAAAAGAAATAATCAACTTGGTGAACAAACAGCCTGCAGAATTGTAGAAAGTATCATCTCACATCAGTTAAGATGGCTGTTGTCAAAAAAGAAAAACATGCTAACAAATGCTGGTGAGGACACAGAGAAAAGAAAACTCGTATGCATTGCTGGAGTGAATGTAAACTAGTACAGTCACTGTGAAGAGCAGTGTGGAGGTGCCTCAAAAATACAAACAGAACTAACAGATGATCCAGCAGTTCCACTACTGCATTTTTTAAATATATATATACTTTAAAATCTGGGATACATGTGCAGAACATGCAGATTTGTTACACAGGTATACAGGTGCCATAGTGGTTTGATGTACCCATCAACCTGTCATCTGCATTAGGTATTCCTCTAATTCTACCCTTCCCCTTGGCCCCCACCCCCACCTTCTGATATGCCCCAGTGTGTGATGTTCACCTCCCTGTGTCCATGTGTTCTCATTGTTCAACTCCCTCTTATGAATGAGAACATATGGTGTTTGGTTTTCTGTTCTTGTGATAGTTTGCTGAGAATGATGGTTTCCACATTTTCTCCAGCATCTGTTGTTTCCTGACTTTTTAATGATTGCCATTCTAACTGGTGTGAGATGGTATCTTATTGTGGTTTTGATTTGCATTTGTCTAATGACCAGTGATGGTGAACTTTTTTCATATGTTTGTTGGCTGCATAAATGTCTTCTTTTAAGAAGTGTCTGTTCATATCTTTTGCCACCTTTTTTGGGGGTTGTTGGGTTTTTTCTTATAAATTTGTTTAAGTTCTTTGTAGATTCTGGATATTAGTCCTTTGTCAGATGGATAGATTGCAAAAATTTTCTCCCATTCTGTAGGTTGCCTGTTTACTCTGATGGCAGTTTCTTTTGTTGTGCAGAGACTCTTTATTTTAATTAGATCCCATTTGTCAATTTTGCCTTTTGTTGCCATTGCTTTTTGTGTTTTAGTCATGAAGTCTTTGCCCATCCCTATGTCCTGAATGGTATTGCCCATGTTTTCTTCTAGGGTTTTTATGGTTTTAGGTCTTATGTTTAAGTCTTTAATCCACCTTGAGTTAATTTTTGTGTAAGGTGTAAGGAAGGAGTCCAGTTACTGTTTTCTGCATATTGCTTGCCAGTTTTCCCAACACCATTTATTAAATAGGGAATTATTTCAGCGTTGCTTGTTTTTGTCAGGTTTGTCAAAGATCAGATGGTTGTAGATGTGTGGCATTATTTCTGAGTTCTACGTTCTGTTCCCTTGGTCTATATATCTGTTTTGGTACTAGTACCATGGCGTTTTGGCTACTGCAGCTTTGTAGTATAGATTGAAGTCAGATAGCATGATGCCTCCGGCTTTGTTCTTTTTGCTTAGTTGGCTATACAGGCTCTTTTTGGTTCCATATGACATTTAAAGTAGTTTTTCTCTAATTCTGTGAAGAATGTCAGTGGTAGCTTGAGGGGATAGCATTGAATCTATAAATTACTTTGGGCAACATGGCCATTTTCACAACACTGGTTTTTCCTATCCATGAACATGGAATATTTTTCCATTTGTTTGTGTCCTCTCTTATTTCCTTGAGCAGTGGTTTGTAATTCTCCTTGAAGAGGTCCTTCACATCCCTCATAAGTTGGATTCCTAGTTATTTAATTATCTTTGTAGCAATTGTGAATGGGAGTTCACTCATGATTTGGCTGTCTGTTTGTCTGTTATTGGTGTATAGGAATGCTTGTGATTTTTGCACATTGATTTTGTATCCTGAATCTTTGCTGAAGTTGCTTACCAACTTAAGGAGATTTTGGGCTGAGACAATGGGGTTTTCTAAATATACAATCATGTCATCTGCAAACAGAGACAATTTGACTTCCTCTCCTCCTATTTGAATACCCTTTATTAGTTTGTCTTGCCTGATTGCCCTTGCCAGAACTTTCAATACTATGTTGAATAGGAGTGGTGACAGACGGCATCCTTGTTATGTGCCGGCTTTCAAAGAGAATGCTTCCAGCTTTTGCTCATTCAGTATGATATTGACTGTGGGTTTGTCATAAATAACTCTTGTTATTTTGAGATATGTTCCTTCGATACCAAGTTTATTGAGAATTTTTAGCATGAAGGCTTGTTGAATTTTATCGAAGGCCTTTTCTGCCTCTATTGAGATAATCATGTGGTTTTTGACATTGGTTCTGTTTATGTGATGGATTATGTTTATTGATTTGCATATTAACATATGCCAGCCTTGCATCCCAGGGATGAAGCCGACCTGATCGTGGTGGATAAGCTTTTTGATGTGCTGCTGGATTTGGTTTGCCATTGTTTTATTCAGGATTTTCGCATCATTGTTCTTCTGGGATATTGGCCTGAAATTTTCTTTGGTTGTTGTGTCTTATGCAGAGTCTTGACTTTTCTTTTTTTTTTTTTTTATGGGGTCTCGCTCTGTCGCCCAGGCTGGAGTGCAGTGGCGCGGTCTCAGCTCACTGCAACCTCTGCCTCCTGGGTTCAAGCGATTCTACTACCTCAGCCTCCCGAGCAGCTGGGACTACAGGCGCAAACCACCATGCCAGGGTAATTTTTGTGTTTTTATTAGAGATGGTGTTTCACCATATTGGCCAGGCTGCTCTCAAACTCCTGCCCTAGTGATCCACCTACCTTGGCCTCCCAAAGTGCTGGAATTATAGGCGTGAGCCACTGCGCCCGACCAGTGTAATTCGTAATTCTGCAGTGGGAATACAGGAAGTGAGTCTGAGTGGCTTTCAGAAGTGTGGGCTCTTTTTTCTTTCCCAGACAGACACATTGGGACAGAAAGATTTCTGTGACTGTCCCCATTTTTGGGAAAAGGGATTCAAGAGAATATGAAAGCTCTTCATGATGTGGTTCTTTAGATATTCACACTGCAACATGTTGACCACACTCGACTTCAAGCAATCCAATATATACTTGTGTTTTTAGTTATACCTTACATTTTACATGCCAGGCTCTGCTTCAGTTCAGCTCATACCCTGGCATTGTTACTCTCTACATGAAATTGCCTCCAGCTAGATTTCAGATTTAATGTTTGTCTTAAAACTTCGAGCATCTATAGTATTAAAAAATTTGCAAAATTCTGCCTTCTTGGCTTGTGTTATTGTTGATGTTATGGTAAAAAAAAAATAAGTAAAATATATTCTTCATATATGTACATTTCCAAGCTGAGTAGCAGATTTTTTTAGTAAGACCAAGAGTAATAAAAGAAATATTTGTAAGCTGTTTAATAGAAAAACAAACTATTGTAAAATTGTTCACTGAAATAGTACACATCATTTATAATAAATAAATACCTGATACACAGAATAGCAAAGTAAAATATCTAAGTATTTATGTTGAGTAAAATAAGCCAAACAAATAAGAGTATATACTACGTTATTTCATGTTTATACATTCTTATAAGTAAAAATGCGTTTAAAGTAATATAATGAAGATCAGTAGTTGCCAGGGGCGATGATAGAAGAAGGGAAGGGGAAAGGGGGAGGAATATTGCAGAACAAGAGGAAATGTTGAGAAGAATTCACTCGTCCACTTTCTTGATAATGATGACACTTACATCATGTTTATTAATTGTGCATTAATATGTGAAGTTTATTATCTTTCAATTAAGCCTCATAAAATGTATTACAAGCAAACAAATGGAAACCTAGACAAGGAAAGAGTAGCCAAAAGATACAAAAATATGTTAAATGTCAGAAGTACCTGAAAATTAGTGTGGCTGGACCCTAGTTCTCTCCATATTTTCAGGTGAGAGCTGGGGTGCGGCAACATCACACATGCTCTTATTACACAAAGTGGGTTCTGAAAACCACACTAAGGACATCCAGCTTTGTACTGAAGTTGGTTTAGGGAGCAGTCAGAGCCAGTGATGAGGAGCACAGGGCCAGATACTGGGGTTCACTCGGCCCAGACATGAGCTCCTAGATGCATACAGAGCCCCCTCCATGTGTGGGTTCACTTCCACATCCATAAATGGAGAAAATATTGACTCCTATAGAACATAATGTACACAATTATTTAAACAGGAAATAGGTTCATCAGAGCAAAGTGTTTATCACAGCACAATTTCATAATGTGGCATAATTTCCAAATAACATCATTATCAGCAAACTTCTTCAGAGCACGGTCTTTTTACAGCCTACTCCTCAAGCGTTGCACACTAGAGTTCGTTATATATTAGGAGACATGCAAATAGGGTCCTCCTTCTACTGATGAAAACCAACCCAACCCTGACCCTGCAGCTCCGAGAGAGGAGCCTTAGCCCTGGATTCCAAGAACTTCCACTTGGTGATCAGCCCTGAACACAGATTGCCAACCATGGAGTTTGGACTGAGCTTGGTGTTCCTTGTTGCTATTTTAGAAGGTGATTCATGGAAAACTAGAGAGATTGAGTGTGAGTGCATATGACTGAGATAAACAGTGAATATGCGTGGCAGTTTCTGACCAGGATGTCTCTTTGTTTGCAGGTGTCCAGTGTGAGGTGCAGCTGGTAGAGTCTGGGGGAGGCTTGGTACAGCCTGGCCGGTCCCTGAGACTTTCCTGTGCAGCCTCTGGATTCACTTTCAGTAGCTATGGCATGCACTGGGTCCGCCAGGCTCCGGAAAAGGGGCTGGAGTGGGTTTCATACATTGGTAGTAGTACCATGTACTATGCAGACTCTGTGAAGGGCCGATTCACCATCTCCAGAGACAATGCCAAGAACTCGCTGTATCTGCAAATTAACAGCCTGAGAGCCGAGGACACGGCTGTGTATTACTGTGCGAGGACATGGTGAGGGGAAGTCAGTGTGAGCCCAGACACAAACCTCCCTGCAATGATCCCCGGGACCATCAGGGGGCACCCGGGATACTGTGCTCGGGGCTGTCTCCAGGCCCAGTGCAGGTGCTGCTAAGAGCTGGCTTTTCTGTCTTGGTCTGGTGATGCCTCAGTGTCAAATTTCCCCAGGGAACTTCTCTAGATTTGCAATTCTGTACTAACATTTCATGTCTCTAAATGCAAAACTTTTTTTCCAATTCTGTTTCTGTTTTGTTTTTTGTTTGTTGTTGTTGTTGTTGTTACAGAAGGATACATCCTCACCTTCACAGAAGCCAGAGTGTCACTCTAGGGGCAGAAATAATCCTTTCGCGGTCAACAGGATGAGAGTTCTGAGGATGCCCCCAGAATCTGGAGAGTGTTTTCTATTTAGACTCAGGGCAGAGACCTCCATGGGAATTTCTGATTAGAACAGGCTTTGAGTTCTGATAGGAGCCAAGAGAGAGGCTCGCCCAGGGCCAGGGTCCTTAAAACCTTATGGTTTTCATGGCTATCACCCCTCGTCTTGTAAAACTAGGCACGTCTGACTCAGACTGATTCAGTTGACCCTCTTTTTGCAAATCCATTTTCCTTCTCTGTAGACTTGATTCTCACAGTCTACTTTCTTCTTCTCTTCCCTGAAAACAGAGGATGTGTTTTCTGTAGTGAAATTCCCAGGGCTTGGGTCTGCAGGAACTGGGTAGGCTGAGGGAACTTTCTCACTCACCATTGCCTGGACACTCCTGCTGTCTTCTGTGCATGGAGGCATTTGGAAAATGGGGTGGACATTAGCCAAGAAGGGAATAATACTAGTTTTGTCCAATGGAATACTGATGTAGCGGTGATATTGGGCTTCTCACACTGTCACATATTTGCACTCTCACCTGTGACTTTGAGGAGAGCTGAGGATGGACACTCCATTGTACTCTGAGCTCTGGGTAACAGTAATTGTAGGATCCGGCTAGGCATGCCGAAGGTCAATACTGCTGGCCATCGGGAAAGACGGGTTAGAATTCCTAATCTAGAAGTAACCAGAAAAATGGACACCCAGCAGCCCGTGCCACTGCTCTGCCTATGGAGTAGCCATTCTTTATTCTCTTACTTTCCTAACAAACTTGCTTTCATTTTACTTTGTGGATTCACCCCGAATTGGGACCCCTTTCTGGTAACATTTGTGTTATTATTGGTTTTCTAAACAGAAAAGTCCAAGAAGTGATGAAGATTCCCTGCATTTTTTAATAACTACATCCACCCCTTGGAGAGAAAATGCACAGGGGGTGGAATGAGCCTAGGAAGCTGAAGGCATATGATGGAAGCCTGTGTCTAAGTGAAGGAGAGAGAGAGGGTGGATTGGATGGAAGTTTCTTACATTGCTGTGCTGTGCAAGGAAGATGCAAAATATAATTAAGTCTTGTGCAAGTCAGTGCTACCTCTCAGGGAATCCTCATGACTCCCAGAAATGGCTCTGCTTAGGAATAGCTGTGGAGTCAGTCCTTTCATTGGAGTAGACCACAGGACATGGGCCTCAGCACACGACATGCCACAGATGTCAGAAAGCAGCTGCTGGAAACCTGATCCACCTGCATTTTGCTGCCTGTAGGATGACAGAGGGAAGTGCATTCTCAGGGTCAACACAGTGTTTGTGGATTTTTATAGAGAACACCTGCTTTTACTGTATTTTATTGGAAAATATATGAACAAGCATGCACCTGTGAACAATTGTACTTTTCACATTTATTTCCCTTGATTATTTATTAATTCTACATGAGGCTTTGACACAGAGTTGAGTTTTTTCGTGGGTATTGTTCAAAGGATCGAGAACATGCATTTTCCACTTTCATTGGTTTTTCTTGATGTGCAGATACCTTGAGTAGAGCACATCTGGCCCTTATCCACACTACCTCTTGTGTCCTCTGGAAAAGAGCAGAGATTTGTCTGACTGCAGAATCTGGGGTAGGAGTCTGCACACCTCTGAGCCTGCAGAGAAGCCCAGAGAAGTTTTATGGAGTCAGAGGGCTATCCCATGTAGGGGAACCTCTAGCTCCCCCACTGCCAGAGATTGCTGGCCAGCTGTAATTGAGGGGTTCAGTATTAGAGCACCTGGGAGCCTATCTCAACACAGCTCCGTTATGTAACTTATCACCATTAGACTGCAGGTAATAACTCAATCTTGATTTTTCTGACCTGATTTTCTCATTTATTTGTAAGTTTGGTTATAGAAAATGTTATCTTTTGGTTTATGATTAAAACCTCAGAATTTTTTGAACTTTTCAGGAATAATACCAAATGTGTCCAGTTTGGGGGAAATGTAAATGAATGTCCATGTAATTTGTGTGTGTGTGTGTGTCTGTGTGTGTGTATGTCAGCCAGTTACACCCCTATGAACATAATTGCTTAATTATACAGTCAAACTACAATGAGATTTGCTGAAAATTGCCTGCAGTGTTGTCTGTGACGCTGACCCTGTCACCTTACTATGATGAAGCTCAGTGTACAGGCAAGTACACATGGGAGAGCTAACAGGTTCAGCCCCCAGGACAGGCTGAGCTCCTGAACTGGAGCCAGACATAGGACTGGGCATCTCAGAAGCAGATCCCCCAGCCCTCCTTTATCTGGGCTGCATGGGCAGCAGAGGACCAGCAGGAGATGCTCAGAACTCACAAAAGGCAGAGCCCCAGTGAGGAGCAAATGCAGCGAGGAACCAGCCAGGGAGCCTCTGACTACCATCTAGGGTTGTCTTATTTGCTTAACAGCATCCAACCCTCAGGAGACCATTCATCATGTTCCTTAGACCTCATGCCCTTCATGTCCCAAAGAAAAATAGACATAAAAATGACTCTGCAGTTAGCTCTTTGAACCTGGGTTATTTTTCTTAGAATGTCACCTTCATCATCAGCATCATGGTCATCATGTCAAATTCAACACGCAAATCTAGTCACTGTAAAGACAGTTTCATGGAGTGATTCATGTAAAATCATGCCATTCTACAGAGAATCTATTTCAGATTCCGAAGGTGGATTAAACTGTTGTATTTAACTGCCAATTGTGAAATTGGTGGAAGTCATTAGACAAAAGGAAAAGTCTCTGACCTCTCATGGGGCCATGTTTCTAGAAAATCATTGTGATCCTGAGCCTGAGTGTGACATTCCAAGTGTTCCTGACCCTCCTTCAGATGAGATGCTGGTCTGTGTGTTCTTGACCCTTCCGCTGGGGTAGAGTTCTCCTGTTTTCTTCAGTTCTTCCCTCCCACTGCTCTAATGTTCCCTATTGATGTCACCATCTTCCAGATCTGCTGCCATGACCTGCAGATTAAGGCTCTGATTTCGTAAGAGAGGGGAGATTCTTCTCAATAGATCAGTGAGTTCCTCATCTCCACGTGAGACCACCTCAGCCTGGATATCATTGTTCAAAAAATATCAGCATTTTTGTCAAAGCCAAGTAAGTCTCTAGGAAGTTCCAAACTATCCCACATTTTCCTGTCTTCTTCTGAGTCCTGCAGACTGTTCCAATCTCTGCCCATTACCCAGTTCCAAAGTCGCTTCCACATTTTTGGTTATCTTTTTCAGCAATGTTTCACTCTACTGGTACCAATTTACTGTATTAGTCTGTTATCATGCTGGTTCCAACCCTGGACAATTTACAAAAGAGGTTTATTGGACTTACAGTTCCATGTGGCTGGGGAGGCCTCACAATCATGGCAGAAGGTGAAAAGCACATCTGGTGGCAGGCAGGAGAAGAGAGGTCGCGCAGGAAAACTCCCCTTTGAAAACCATCAGATCTCGTGAAACTCATTCACTATCACGAGAACAGCACAGGAGAGACCTGCCCCCATATTTCAATCACCTTCCACCAGGTTCCTCCCACGATGTGGGGATTGTGGGAGCTACAACTCAAGATGAGATTTGCATGGGGACACAGACAAACCGTATCACTGATCCTTCTTCACATCATCTCTCATGACCCCAGGGAAAGAGCAGAGATTTGACTGACTGCAGAATCTGGGGTAGGAGCTGCTCCTTCTGAACTTAAAGCATTCAGAGGCCCCCAGCCCAGTTTTATGGAGTAATAGAGTTTTCCCACGTCTGGGGACCCCTAGTGTACCCATGGCCCATTGCTGGTTGGGTGTAACTGAGGGGTTCAGAATTAGAGCACCTGCTAGCCTATCTCACCGCAGCCCCATTATGTAACTTACCACCATCAGACTTCAGGCAAGGACTCCATATTAATTTTTCCGACACAATTTTCTTACCTCATTTATTTGTAAGTTTGTTTATAGAATTTTATTTTACTTTAAGTTCTGGGATACATGTGCTGAACCTGCAGGGTTCAGTTCCTTATTTAAGCCTTAGAATTGCCCAACTCATCAAGAATAATACAAAATGTGTCCATTTTTGGGGAAATGTAAGTGAACATCCAAGCACAATTTTTTGTGTGGATATATCAGTTACACCCCTATGAACATAATTGCTGGTCCTCACCAGAAATTGCTGGTCCTCACCAATCTCAAAAGCATCTAGATCTTCAACTTTCTAGCCTTGAGAATTCAGAAAAATAAGTTTATGTTATTTCTGAGCCACCCATTTTATGGAGTTCTGTTATAGCAGCTGAAACAGACTAAAACATTTGCCAAGTGTCATTAAGGGCAGTGAGGTTCCACCGTACTTGAGAGACGAGCATTACTCTCTCATTTGCAGCTCAGGATGACAGAAACTTGACCTTGAGGTGATCTGAAAAGAAGATGGTGCTTCCTCTCCCTCAGATCTCAGTTGAAGCCATGGTGTCAGATCTCTACGGTGGAGGCTAAATTCCAGTCTGTGAGGTGATGGATGCCTGTCTCCTCCCAGCCTCACTTATGAGACAGAGTTTTCTTGCCATGCACTATAGACCAAGAACAGAGGGACCCCAATTATTCTCACCCCTGCTCACTTACATGGCAGAGGTTCTCGGAAGTTTCCTGGTAAAGGCACAACGAGACTATA